TATCATGGATATTAAGATAGCTAAGCATTTTTAGAGGGACAGACATTTGGGGAGGATTGTGGAATCTTCATGTTAGAGCTGGAGAGAGCCTTTGAGGACTACTTTAACCATTTCATTTAACATGAATTTATTTACCAATCTTTGGAGACTTTAAGAAGACTCTCCCAAGCAAATAGCAACTGTTTATGGAAGGATTTCCATAGGTGATGATGCTTTCATAAGTCTGATACTGAGACTGGGAAGAATTTTTCATTGATTCAGTCTTTATTTATTATTATTATTATTTTGAAACAGAGTCTCACTTGGTCACTCTGAGTAGAGTGCTGTAGTGTCATAGCTCACAGCATCCTCAAACTCAGCCTCTCTGATAGCTAGGACTATAGGCATCCACTACAACACCTAACTAGTTTTTCTATTTTTGGTAGAAATGTGATCTCACTCTTGCGCAGGCTAGGTCAAACCCAGAGCTCAGACGATTCACCTACCTTGGCTTCCCAGAATGCTAGGATTACTAGCACCAGGTAGTAATGAGGGTGCCTGGCTGATTCAGGCTCTATTATTACCTACTACCATGTTTCCCCAAAAATAAGATCTACCCCAAAATAAACCCTAGCAGGATTTCTATGGATTTGTTAAATATAGGCCCTACCCTGATAATAAGACCTAGTGATGGGCGTGGCTATGCAGTGTATCTCCATGCATTTTGGCGTGGAGAGGAAGACATCCCCTGAAAATAAGCCCTAGTATATCTTCTTGAGAAAAAACAGTGTCTTATTTTCGAGGAAACACGGTACTGTCTGCCTCATTTCTTCTTAATGAATCCTAAATTGTGATAGAAACATACCTTACAGTCCTTTCAGAAATAAGTAATTGTGTAAGTATTACATTCTTAAAATTTAGTTGTTGTGATATTGTGATATAATAAGAAATATAGGTTTGGTCTTTGACCACTGGTTCCTGACATAGAGCTCCTAAAACCCTTGTAATTTCCTGAGCAATAGCAATAGGATAATCTTTGGTTCTGATATTTTGTCTTTTACTTCATTTTCTAACAGAGCTCCTAAGACCTTCTTAATTTCCTGGCTGATACCATCTTTTGTTCTAATGAGGCGACTCTTGGTGGGTTCTGGTTGGAGGCTGGTTGCCAGGG